TTGACCACTCTTTTTTCAAATTTCAGCTTGTTCACTTAATGGTTCATTAGCTAATCTACATTCACATTGAAATGCAATGTGTTCTCCTAATGGCATTTAAAAGAAACCCAGCTTCCTGGTGAGTGACACAATTTCTCCCCCTTTTTCACTGTTTATCATTTTCTCTGGAGTTGGGGATTTCTCTCTCTTTATTCTTGGTTTTGTTTCCTGAATAAGATGCATAATCTTGCTTCATTCAGAGACAGATAATAGGGGAACAAATAAGCTACACAAAGATACCAAAAGAGCAGTCTCCCAGACAACAGCACAGACATTCCCATAACTCCCTTCCCAAAACACATTATATTGGTTTTGAATGAGGAAGACGAAGTGGGGGAAAAGGGGGAGAAATACTACAAGTCCTATCTGAAACCTCTTGTCACACAGAAAAAAGACCTTGGAACACTAAAAATGGCAAATAGTCTCCAGTGGTGGGACTTGTACATTATGAATAATTCACTTCTCTTTTAGGCAACTAAACAAAGAACACCTACTTTGCTAGTCCTAGCAATTTACAAAATAAACCTTCCTCATGAATTTGGTGTGGCTCTTCTGATATGCAAATGATTCCCAACTACTACTGAAAAATTAAGTGTCATGCCCTGAGAGAAAGTTTATTTTGTATTTTGCATGTTCAAAAGGTGACCTCTTACTAGAAAAACTTTCCCAGTCCATGGCAGCAGCATTATAACATTTTCCAAACAGTTTCAACAGATACATTGTTCCTACTAGAAGCTATACCACATTTCTGTTGTAAGGTTCAGTGTATAGGAAATCAGCTATTGCATTTATTGGGAGAGGGCAGTTCTGTGACTCAACCACAGTTAGCTTCCAGATATCTAGCTAGAGGGACAGCATAACCTTTTATATCTCAGAGCAGGAAGTCCATCGTACATAAAAATGACCTCCACAACCCTCCTTTCCTCTCTCCAGCTCTACCATCACTTAGAAGTCTTTGTTAGGCTGTGATATAAGGGTCAAACTATTATGGCCATCTAATAGGCTGGGAGTAACTAGAGGAGTTGTGACTAAGCATGGTTGACTTGGAGTCCTCTGTTTCAGTTGTTATGTATGTGAACTCTCCCCTGACCTTTTCCCTGAGTTTCACACCACATTACACAAGTGCCTGTATTAATGACATAGGCAGACAAGGTTCCTTGGGTGAATTTGATATCTTTTATTAGACCAACCCAAATAGTTGGAGAATATTTATTAAGCAAGCTTTCGGGTTCAAAAACCCTTCGTCCTTAATAACTATTCTCCAACCATTTGGGTTGGTCTAATAAAAGATATCAAATTCACCCAAGGAACCTTGTCTGCCTATGTCCTTAGACCAACACAGCTACAACCTAAACCCCTGTATTAATGACATGCTCATTAACCACTGACCAGAATCAGGAGAGTTGATATATTCATCCACTGTATGAATGCAGAGGTGGGTTCTACAATTATTGCCAGAGTTGCCCTCAAGGCTTGTGCTCCACCTCCTATTATTTATGTTCCCACCTGTCAAAAGGCTAAGGGCAATTTTTCTTCTTTGACCTGGAGCCTGAATGGAACAGACTGACATATACGGTTAGATTTCACTACCTATCATTGTTTGTATTCCAGCAGCAACCAGAAGCTGCCACAAAGCAAGGCACTGCTCATAAACATTGTAAAAGGACAGTCATTGCTCCAAAGAGCTAATGATCTAGAGCAGAGGTGCTCAACCTCCAGCCCATGGGCCAGATTTGGCTCACGGCATCATGTCATCCAGCCCATAGGTCTCCCCCACTGGTCCAGAAATATGGGAACAGGGGTGTGGTGCTACCGCTCCTGGCACTACATTTTCAGACCTGTGGGGAGCCCTGGGTTCTTCATTCTGGCAGCACTGTACTTAGATTGCTGGTGGCCCCAGGCAAACTTTTAGTATTGGGCTCCCCTTTGCCAGCGATAATGATAACAATAATTTTTAAACTACCATTTTCAGGCCCCCTTTCTGTCTAGGCCCTGGAAGGCCACCCAGTTCACTCATGCCTGTCTGGCCCTGCCCTCTAGATCTGGTACCTGATCCCATTGCAATCCCAGGATCCAATCCTGGTGCGTGGAGGACAGGAGGGAGCAGTCTTGGGCCCCAGGGCTTCATCTGGCCCACAAACAGACCCCACAGAGCCAAAAAGTTTGAGCAACACTGATCTAGGGAGAAAAGACTGAGGAAAAAAAAAGCCACAACACAGAGGGGAAGTCACTTGTTCAAGGTCACATAGCAGATCAATAGCAAAACCATGGCTCTGAATCCCAGCCCAGTGCTTTCCAGCTACACTGTGCTGTTTCCCCCTCTATGTTTGACACAAGTAGCATTCAACCTAGCACGTTTTCTTGGCTCTGTATTTACATCTTATTCTCATTAATGCTTCCTAGGAAATGAAGGATGATGGAATATGGAGCCTGTCTCTTTCAGGTTACTGCTGAGGTCCCAATTCACCAATTGCGATTCACCCAATTCACCTCAATTTCAGGTCCCAATTCACCTCAGGTCAGTAGTGATTAAACATCATCATTTGTTGACTGTCCTGTGTCTCAGATAGAAGGAGAATTGATGATCCCTGTGTGCTTCCCACTGGACCTACCTTACAGAAATCACAAATGGATACTGACTAACTACTGCACTGCTGACAGATTCCACAAAGGAGCCAAAGGCTGAATGAACAGCAAATGGACAACTCCCTCACTGATGTGGGACACAGTGTAGGGTAAAGTGGAGGAAGTACGATGGGGGTCTAGCTTGCCCATGCTCCAGTCTGAGACCTGCAGGATATTCCTCCCCTATTTAAAACACATTTACTCTTTAAAATGCTTTTGGTGAGGAGTAAGAAAACTCCTATTTCTCAATGTGTGCAGTCAGCTAACAAGCAAGTTCACTCTAGAAATTAGTAAATTTAATAGTTTTGGCACTAGAATTTACCACAAACATCTAGATTCTACAGGAGTGGTTTTTCATGAAATCTGCAAAAAGGTTTGAAGGGATAAATCTAGTCTGAGGAGCACAGAACGAACAAACATTGTCAGATGAAAGCAGAAACAGAGCACTGCTGGGGAATAAACACTAGGCCTGTGCGAGTCGGCAGGGATCCGATCTGGCCACTTCAGATGGCCGTGATCTGATCCAGAGCTCCAGACCGGGTTTCCACTTTGATCCGGCCGAAGCGGCTCTGAAGCTTCGGAGCTGCCTCGGAGATCTGGCCATAGGGTCCATATTATTAAATTCGGGTGATTAGAAACTGCAAGCTCTGTGTTGTAAATACCCTGGAGACAACAAGTGTCTTTTCATTATGACTGTGCAAATATGGATTTTGATTGACTGGCCAAACTGGGAGGAAAAAATGAACAAATTTTGTCTCACATCAACACAAAATGAAATGCTGTGCATTTCACACCTGGGTTATTTTACCCTTTTGAATCCTTCAGTTTCCCCCTTTTACTTCTCACTTTCTAAATGAAAATACCATTAAAAAACCCTAAAAAGTTTCATTTAAACTTTTCTAAAATAAAGTTTCATTTGAAAAGTATTAACATGAAATGTTTTAACATTTTCCAATATTTGCCCTGTTTCTCTCAGCCCACACTAGATTTTTCTGTGAACTTATTATTTGCCAAAGAATTTTTCCCAGCTTTACTTTATATAAGGGTCTGACTTCAAGGATTGGGCCCTTCAATATATACTGCTACCACTTGTTACTAAGGCTGTGCAAAGCTTTGGTCCCTGATTTGATTCGGTGAAGATTTGGGCCAGTTTGGTGGCTGAATCTCTGAATCTGAATCAAAATCAGGAGACCCTTTAATCTCTCCGAATCAAATTGGAACCCTCCAAATCGATTCGGAGAGATTTGGTGATTCAGACATAGACACAGCTTTAAATGTTTTTTCTACATTCCTCAAGGTAGCAGGCAACTCGTGAACGCTGAGGTGGTGGGGCAAGTGGAGCGTCCCACAGGAGTGCGTGTGTGTGTGGGGGGGGGGGGGGGGGTCGGTCCCCAGCATGCTCAGCGGCAGACCTGACAGTGGACCAGAAGTACTTCTGGGTCCACTGGGGAGTGCACAGGGGGCCCCCCCATTCCCCCTGGCTTAGCAACTGGGTCTGGAGGGGCACCCAGGGTCCCCCTGCGGCCAATTGCTAAGCCAGAGGTGGGGGGGGGGTATACTCCCCAGCCAACCCGGAAGTGGACCAGAAGTACTTCCAGTCCACTTCCAGGTTCGCTGCCGAGCATGCCGGGGGAACCCCCACGCTCCTGTGGGATGCTCCATCTGCCCCACCATCACAGCGTTCATGAGCTGCACCTGGTACCTCGAGGTATGTAGAAAAAACATTTAAAGCCGTGTCTATGGCCAAAATGCAACCATATTGTGGTTTACAGATGAGAAACTCAGAAGCAGACAGCTTGAATGACTTGCCTCAATGTACAAAGGAAGTCTGTGGCAGAGTCAGGAAGGGAACCCTGCAGGAAGTTAGCCAGTTAACAATGACTAGTCTCGTTTAAAGTGGCTGGTTTCATATTTTAAAAATGGTTTCAAATTATTTGGAACCATCAAGCCATAAAGTAGATTTATGAACCCATGTAATCTTGTTGCCCTCACCTGTTTCTTTTTTCTTCCTCTTGCTTATTATACTTGTGCATTATTTCTGATTTCAACTTGGACTAGTCTTCTAAAGTTTCTCCTCTATGCTTGTACAGCCTTTAACACACCAGGGCTCTGATCTCGAGCGGGACCTCTTGGGGTGTACTATAATAAACAAGAAAATTCTAGGTGTCCTGAACCCTGGGTCTGTGTCCATTTTTCGACTGAGGCTTTGATAGTGTGGAATTACGTTAAAACAAAGTGAAAAGCATGGGTGATGTCTGGAGGTATACATCATGGCACTGAGTGGTTACTTATTTAACTAGAAAACATGGGACAGATTTTATCTGAAAACAGGATACCTCAAAACTCATGCTATGTGCCAAGCAGAGCTTTCGCACTATTTCAGCCACATCTTTTTCCGTAGGTTGCCTCTCAGGTTCTTCCTTTTCATATAGGATATCACTCACATACAGATCCTTGCAGTCCACTGAAAACAGGAAAAAACAAATTATGCGTCATTTCCTATGACTGAAACCAAATAATGGGAAGGACTACACTGATGGATGTCAGGTCAACAAGGATTCAAAATGTATGCCTAAATTGAGCATGTGACTGCCCTCCTTGAGGGTCAAGAGATGTGGTCACATGCATTATAGTGAGGCCTGTGTTAAAGTACATTGCTGAATCAGGGCTGAAAGGGGCATGTATCCTGAAAGACAGACCAAATAAGATATACAGGAACAGAAAAAAAATAAATCACATGTTCTTTCAACACACAAACAAATCACATGTTTTTTCAATAGTTTCTCTCATGACCACAGTCTTATCAACCTGCTTTCATCGCTCTTTGTTCTAACACACCCATTTACTGACTGACCATGCAGGCCTGAAGTCCCAGTAAATTTAGTGGCAATTTTTGGTATATAAACAAACATGTTATTGGAATCTTCAGTTTTAAACGTTGAGTGGTAAAGACCTTGACATTTTGTCTCTGGATAGATATTAACAAACTAAAGTCTGGGAAACTTAAGATTTTTTTAGAAACAAAAATAACACTTTGCTTGGAAGTGTGCGTAGATAAAATTAAATGGTTTTCAATATTTTGATCTCAACTGTCAGTCTTCACTCAGGAAAAGCTCCCAAAGGCTTCAGCAAATTTATTCTGCTATAGTTCAGATACACTCAGAGATGAGTGAGTAATAAGGAAATAGAAACTTTACAATGCACACTCCTTTGAGTCCCACTGGGACTTGCTTTATATTAGGGAGTGCACATTAATAATGGTAGGAGTAGCACTCAGCCACTGCAGAAAGTATATATGCATTTGGAAGGCGATTGAATCAATGCTGAAAGTCAAGGTCTTTGAAAGACCTGGAGTAGAGTTCTGCTATGCAGGAAGTCAGACGCAAGGAATCTCTCTGGTAGACACCTGCCTTATCCACACTTCAGATTCAACCCCTCCTGCAGGTATGAAGCACACAGGGCCTTGTGTCCCAGAGTAGGCAGCAGGGAGCAGCCCAGAATACAACAGTTTCCTTTTCCACACAGTCGCACGTAAAAGGAAAGTGCTGGCACAATGCAAGTTCTTACAGCAGACAGGTGAAATGCAATTAAAAACTTTTCCAGGAAATCATTTAATACCTTTCTTGTACAAGGTCGCTGCCTCTACTTGAAGTAGTTTTAGTGCAGACTGTGTCTGTGTCTTTGCTCCACTGCCCTTCCTAGAGAAAGGGGTAAGGAGATTGGACTCAGTACATTTGGCCTCTGCCAGGATTGCTTCCTTAAAGCTCTGAACACATTCCAATTTGGAAGACAGGAGCTGCTGCTGGGACTGAAAGAAACAAAAAACACTTCAGAGAAAATCTTTGTGACCAATGGCCACCCACACAATTCTTTCTATGAAACACAGATACCAGCTCTGCATCCTGCTAGATCTTTCATGATTTGCAGGAGGTGGCAATAGTACATGCACAAGCTCATTATGCAACAGACTCATTATATTTAATTGTCTAATGCACCAGCGTTAACCAGGTCTCTTTTGCAAGTGGAGATCTGAATAGAAAAAAAAGGCTGTTATCTGAAAGCCAGCAGATACAGTAAGTTGTTTGACTTATTTCTGTTGTTAGCATTTTAAAAAAGCAGTGACATGTACACTGATTGTACTCAGTGATGTGTTACATTTTCAAAACAGCTTTTAGTAACTTAGAGCAATACTTCCCCACTTTTAATGCTATTGTCAAATATTTTACTTTCAAATATTCTTTATGTATTATGTATTCTAGAAAGGAAATTAATTCAGCAATCAGGTTCTTCCATATATTGTTATTTGTTTACCAGTCATATGAGTAATGAGCTGGCACACAACATAAACGTGTGTTGTTAGCGAAGGACTTTTCACACACATGGAGATGTCATCAGTTTAGATCTTATCTGCTATAGAGGTTGCTTAAATATTTCCATTCCAAAGGACCCTTGTCAGTCACTTCAGAATAGGATGTAGCAAAAAAAGCAGAGATAAGTAGTCAAGGAGGAAGGAGTCCAAAAGACCCTGTTGCATTCACTGCATGGATTGAATGGCATGTCATGTATAATACATGGGACCTCTCTCTGAACAGTGAGGATGAAAGAAGTACTGAACAGCTGCCTCTTCTACTCCCTGCAAACAGTGAGGATAAGTCCTCCAAAAAGTCCAGATTAATTGAAAAGTTGACTATGAACCATCTCGCCTGCACATTAGATGATGAACAGATCATGATAATATAGTCAAAAGAGAACAAGGCATTAATTACTTTAGTGTAATGCATACTGTTACCAAGGCAGAGTTAAAGCTGCATGCACATATGGAACATGCTGTATTTGTTTTATCACGTCCATAGCACACAAAACAAATCCCAAAACAAACAAAACAAAAAGACATACAGGGTGTGTCCCCATGACTGGGAATGTGCGTTTCCCCAGGGACAAATAGCTGTGACACATTTGTGCCACTGCTAGTTGTCCTGGGGCACACCCCTGTATGCTGCTCTGGCATAAGGCAAATTGCCCCAGGTGGGATTGGGCAGCATTATCTGGGGCTCTGGGGGCCTCCTGTGGCTGCAGTGGTGGTGATCCAGGCACCAGAACCTGGCCAGCAGCCTGAGAGTGGATGTGGCCAGCCATGCTCTGGTTTCAGGCAGTGCAATGCTGCAGCTGTGTGCTCCGCACCACATTTTTTTTGCATGGGTTTTTTTTGTTTTGACACCAAGATCTCAGGGTGTCAGAAAAACCCGCTGCACTGCAATTTAGCGGCACAGTAAATGTATGCAGGTGCGGCAGATGCAGTTTGCAGCACTGCAGACCACACGTGCGTGCTTATGGGAATGTGCCCATAAACCAGATCCGGACACGCAGGCACATGCAGTTTGTGGCACCACAAACCGTACGCGTTGCAAATTAAACCATGCATGGTGCTGCTAATTTGCAGCGCTGGGGCAAAATTTGCTATTGGAATTTCCCAGTAGCAAAAAACCCCCAAAACCCCAAAGAAAAAAGCAGCACAAAGAATGCCAAAGGGACGTGTGCTAGTATAAACACAGACGGAGATGGAGGAGCAGGCAGCCCTGGGTTGCCTGCTTACCCAAGTGCTGCTCCTCAGCTGGCTGGGGCACAGTGTGCTTCTGTGTGGGGCTGCCTACCGGCTAGCTCCACATGAAGGCACCCTGTACCCCAGCCAGCCCCCCCTGAAGCACATACAGCAATGGGACAGTATGTCCTGCTGCAAAGCGCATGGGCAGGGGCGCGCACTACATCACAAAGTAGCGGCACAAATTTATGCCGCTACTATTTGTACTGCTGCAAATGCATCCCCTGCCTCATGTGGATGTGATCACAGTGTCTATCTGATATTATCTGAAACACCATGTTCATGGCTTTATTCCTGAGGATTCAGAGATGGGTGAAAACATGAGAGTTGAAATTGGGCATAAGATACCATTCAATCAGCTTTCATTTAAATTGATGGAAATATTTTGATTATCAGAAACACAGTCCTGTAGAAGCAGACCTGGCTCTTAATACCTACAGAGAGATACTAGTTGGAAGGATTCATGGTAGGACCAACTCTCCACACTTACCACTGCGCCAGGTAGAGCAATGGACTGCAAGGAGGTAAAACCTGAATACCGGTGAGAACACAGGTTTAAGTCTCTCATCTTCAAAAGAATAGGGCCTTTTTGCTGATATTTGGTTGGGCATTTTCCCAGAATGTCCACCTAGTAACAAACATGCAATAACTAGACAAATATAATATTTATGCACATGCACACAATACAGAGTAGTTACATATCATTATCGCTACTAAAAATAATTACTTTGCACAAGAACTAAATTTTCCTTTGCAATGCTTGAGCTGTGGCCTGGCATGTACAGTCATTTGAAATGCCTTGGTGAAATGTTGCATTTTACATAAGTCGGGGTTGGTTGGTTTATTTAATAGTAATCTGAAAGATTTTGGACCAGATAACTTGCTTAAAAGCAGATGCTGGATCATTCCTTTATTTTAACACCTTGGTCCTTCTCCAGACAGCATTTCTGTGCAGGGCCACATGACGAGAACTCTGTTGCACGCATATAAACTCACCAACTCTAGTGGGTAACAATAACTTAAAACAATATTCCAGAACAGAACTTTACCTTAGGTTTTAAAAGTAGTATTTGGATGATGTTCAAGTGAAAGCCTTGAAAATCCAGCTCGGCAATCAGTCACGGGGGGACCCTAGGTGCCTCCCCCCCCAACCCTGGAGGCACCAGTCGCCGAGCTAGGTGTGGGGAGGAGGGGCCCAGAAGTGGACCAGAAGTCAACTGAAGTGCTTCTGGTCCACTTCTGGGTTTGCTGCTAAGCGTGCTGGGGAGCCCCCCGCACCCCTGTGGGACGTTCCATCTGCCCCAGCACTGTAGCATTCACAAGTCATCTGGTACCTTGAGGAATGTAGAAAAAACATTTAAAGCTGTGTCTTTGTCTGAATCTCCTAATCTTTCCAAATCTCTCTGAATTGATTCGAAGAGATTAAAGGGATTCCTGATTCAATTCAGAGATTCAGCCACTGAATCTGGCCAAATCTAATCAGGGACCGAAGCTTTGCACAGCCCTACTAAGCAGGTATAACATGCCCATCCTCACACCACTGTACCCTGCTCTGTACCACAAGAAGAAAGATATACTCTTTAGGGTAGGTAGGTAGTAGCTAAACCATCTGTGCTTAGATTTCTGACAAAAATACAAGTAAGAGTCAATTTTCTGATGTGTCGACTAAGAAAGAGACCACTAGTGGATGCTCACCAGCCATCAAGTGGCAACAACTTTTGCTCATTAAAAAGGACATCGACATGATACCCACAACAGCTGAAAGCCAGCCTGGAGTGCAATAGCACTCACCTCTTCAACGAGTCCATCGGCAGTGGGTGCACGTGCAGTCTGAAGAATACTGAGAATGCCCCGTTTGATGTTCAGTGCCCAGGTTTGTTCACTCCTCAGTGGGCAGATTGTTAAAACTTTCCCCTCATGGAAAGAAAAGTGAAGAGGATGCCGCTCTATTACTTCCCTGCAATTAGGTAAGTTACAATTGCTTTGGTGAGATGTGAGCTGCAAGAAGAATTTATGAACCTTAATGGACTTCACATTTTTTTACTTGGCATTTCCCTTCCAGTGGGACTATCTGGCTCCAAAAACATACCTCAAACTTTATAACTGCTCCTTTTTATGTCACAAGTTGATCTTGTTCCTTACAAGTCCTTTAAAACATCCATTAAGATAATTGCTATGAAACACAGAAGGCTCTATTTAATTAGAACCTACTTAATCAGGACAGTTCCCTGGGAATTTATTTAAGGCTAATTATTATGTTTAATGGCAGTGGTTCTTGCTTAATTGGAGACAGTAATTCCATTTAATGGGGAATCTTCTTGTGATGTAGTAGGTCTTGGGCCACAGTGTCTGTGACTCAGCTGCATACTGACTTTGTCTTTTCCTCTAATGTTTGCAAACCTTCCACAACTAGGATAGATGCAAAAAAGAGACCAATTGCTGCTTCCCCACAGGATTGTAGATCTGTTCCTTCTGTGCTATTTACATAGACCTGGCCACCATTATTGAAATTACGCATCCATTCTTGTTGCCTATCCCAGTGGGTCCCTTCAACCTAGTCTTTGGAATACTGAATGCAGCTGCGGTATTAAAACATTGTTTTTTGTTTATCAGGAATTCCTCCGACTAGGAAAGGAAATAACATGCACAGGGATGCCCCAAGGAAGAGGATTTACTGTAGTCCAGTGACCAGTCTGCTTCTACAGCAGACAACACATTTGCTTTGCTCCTTACCTTCAAACTGACCTATTCATCTGATCACTGAGGACAAAATGTTGCTTCAGGAGAAAAACTCTTTTATGGAACAACACCCAGATAAAGTCTTCATAGAAGGTAAATGACTATGTGCATGGAGTATGGGTTTCTCCCAATAATATACCATTGTGACCCATACTAGCTTCAGTGGAAATTGCAGACATCTATAGAAGGCAGGCTAGACCCCAGCATATATGCAGTAGGCTGAAGAGAATGCTAATAAGGTTTGCTGGTGTGAATAATTATTTTGAGCAGCCAAACTTCAGTGAATGCTGTCTTTGCTTGCTTCATCTTCTGCATTTTTCTTCCTTGCACAGAACAATGGACATAACTGCCCTTATCTCTACAGAGAACCCCTTGAAGATGCATCTGTGTCCCAAATTAGTTGAACTCTGATATCAGGGCTTGTATTGTGGAATAAAAGGTTTTCCTAATGAATACAAAAAAATTGCTCAAAACTTGCTCTTTCTGACCCTCTGCACTGAGCCAATTATCTTTGTTGAGGGCCTGGTACAGATCTCAGTGTTTAAAGGCTGGGAATCCAAGCAGCAGGACAATGCAGGGAGATTACCAAGCTCAGCCAGAACAGACAACAGAACTGCTTTTCTTGGTGAAACAAGGAGCATTAGATCTCTGGGAAAATACCAATCCTCCAAGCCTCATCAAGCCCTTATTGTACAGACACCCCCACAAGTGTCTGTACCTTAGCCAGAGTGACAGCATGTTATGAATGAGCTCCTAAAATATAAAAGGGAGAAGCTGACACTTGAAAAATAAATGCCCTTTAAATGTTGTGGAAGAACACAAAGCAAATTTGCTTCGTGAGAAATATTGATCTTCTCCAAGATTAAAACTTTGGAGACACGTTTTCAAATCTCAAGGACTCTGGATCTTGTCCGGTCCTATAGCCATCACAGTCATAAGCACAAACCAGGCATCTGCACATCACAAACCAGCAATGCACCTGACTATTTGCACATGCTGTAATTTTTACTGTCCATTGCAGGTATGTCTCTACATTAGAGGCCTAGAAAGTAGACCTGATTTTTTAAACTAAATGGCTCTTAATGATTTTGCTAGTGAAGATCTGACCCCGATCTTTTTTCTCAGCTGAAAATTACATGAAGAAAGAAATATCAGGGAAATGTTAACAAGCTGTTGCAAAGCCATGTAGTTTCAAAAACACTTGGAACTGAGCCAGATGAGGGATCATTTTACCTTAAACTATCTATTCCTTTCAGTGGATCTTCCCTGGATGCCTGTGTCTTCTTTATCTGTACATCTTGCATCTAGGAAAGAAAATACCAATGCAGCAAATACCATTGTCAACGGGGACTGAGAAGCTTAAATTCACACAAGGACATAGGCATATAAAAAAAAAACATTAAGCAGAGGCTTAATTTTGCAGCCTTTACTCATGAAGTCAACACTACACAAGACACAAACAGGCTGACTGAAGTCTTTGGGACAACTCACATACGTATGATTAATTTCTGGAGACTGCTTGTATGATGCATAAGTAAATAATGGTTATATATACAAGCTATATTTCATTTTCAGATAGAAAGGAACATCCTACTTTGTGGATAAAAAAAAAAAGACAGTTGGCTAGACACAGTTCTTCAAACAAAATACACTGTTACAGAGGCAAAGCAAGTGCGACAGCTATTTTGGCTGATGTGCCAGGAAGTAGGTACCTCTAGACCAAAAAGTATGAATTGTTTCAGCTTTAACTCAAAAACCTCAGCTCACTAACTAAGGTTACAACAGATTACTGCACGCCTTGGAGACTGTCTGTTTTGTGTTGCAGTTAAAAGCAGAAGCTGCAGACAGTGAGAAACCATGTTGAAACCATGTCTTACTGTATTTACTGCTGAGTTGAGTAAAAAGCAGATACTTTCCTGATATTTCAATCACCTCCATTCAAAACAACCATAAGGTCAAATTTGGAAGGGAAGTTGCTTCAGGGCTTGTGGCCTGATTTGCTCAGACACTGGAAAGTTGTCTAACTACTGACTGGAACCTGGAAGGAAGTTGGCGAGGTGGGCCTTTCTTGTTGGCACCCAAGGAGGTTTGACCACAGGTAACTACCTTATTTTAACAGTTGTTGCAAATCTCAAGACAGATACTGAATCACATGGTGTTGCCAGCAGGGACCAAATAGTTATAAGGCCCCTTATGTCAAACTAGAGCTGTGATGTGTTGAGTATGGCTGCTGGTGCTGCAGGGTGATTTTGAAAGCTTTGGTATCTCCTGTAGCTTGCCAGCTTTCACCCCTCTCAAGTGGCAAGATGGGATCATGGAAGCTTTAGCCAATTACCCTTACACAGGTAGCATTGTCAGGGTCAATTTAGGAACAGCCTTGGAGCAGTTCCTGAAGGGTGACAAGGTGGGGAGCCAATTCACCCTTCATGTAATTTGTTGGTTGAGGTGCAGTCTCTTCTTGAAGCACATTTTTGTGTATTGTTCCTCTGTGGGGTCTGAGTCAGTAAACACCCACATACCAAAAAAGCAACTCATGCTTCCTTATTCCAGCTAAGAGCCTCTTCACACACAAACTCCCCAAGTCTTGCCCACTAGGACCCAGTTCCCAGGTGCCTAGATAACACAGTTAGAAGAAAAGGATATAATTTGAGCAGGAACATTATCAGTATTCCTGAACAAAGGAAAAGCATATATGCCTCAAACCTTGAACTACTCCCCTAAACTAGTCTCATGCCAGTAAGCCTCTTCATGGCTTTGCTACAGGAAACCTCTGAATTAACCAGTCTATGAATATGAAAGGAAGTCCAGGTAGGTATGGATAGATTATTGTTTCATACTTTTCTTGTTGGGCACCTATTCATAGTGCTCAGACTGAATTTGGCCTACAGCAGGCCACAAGTCAGGATAAACTATGTAATTCAAGTCTCTGGTCTCCTTTACCCATCAAGTTCAATAGCAGCATTACGAGACCCCTGGATTCTAAACTGTAACAAAAGGCTTATGTCAAACAACTCACAGAAGCTTCTAAAGGTCTCTTTAAAACAAAAAGCTGCTGCTATATTTAAATTACTGTTGCAGATATGAAAGTGATTTAAAAAAAATAAAATCACCTAGCCCTTTTCAAGGGGGTTGCCTTCATCTCCAGTTCTGCACTTCATATAGTCAACAGGCAAAATGCTCATTTCACTCAGGAAAGGAGCTGGTTTCTATTATTCAGCCCTTAAAAAGCTTCTTATTGTTTAATTAGAAGCAGTGAAACATCCAAGCAATTCTGCAGTTCTCATAATCAGTCACAGTGTTTTGTCATTATTGTTTTAATTGCAGATTTCCACTGGTTCAAATGCAGCAGTCACCCTACGGAGTAGCAGTGCTCTGTGCTAATTAATTCCAGTCATTGAAGCATTTGCAGAATTCATGAAAATACTTACTTTTAAGATCATATGGCACTTTCCTAGTGCTTCAAGGATCACTGTGCTCTCAAGGGAAACACCACTCCTTTTGTAAATGGGTCCCTGTAGGAATGTGTTGGTGGCTGTAGAATACCTATAGATATATCTGGAGCCTTTATGGAATTGCAAGGTGCTGTGTCCTAGGAAACAAGCACACAGAAAGCCATTTAGGAGCTGTTGTATTGTCTCAGAAAAATCAAGGCTACGTTTGTAGATTTGGGCCATTCAAGGCGTCTAAAAAGTGACCAGCCAGGTTTTCAAAATCATGAAAGCACCCAACAGTTTCCACTCATCCCAGCTCTGTAGATCCTTTCTGGAAGATATAGGGAAGAGAAGTTCCCTTCCCTCATTCCATGCACATTTTCAGGGACCAGCCACAATTTTGTAACAGCAAAGTTGGCTGTAAAAATCTAATAACAGCAGAAGTATGCAGAGGCTGGAAGGCATGACATCCTCCTTGCCTCCCTCCCCCACCACTTATTGTTGACTGCAATCCAAAGCAAAGACTTCACAGTTTTCATTTCATACATGTGCTGTGAACTGCATCTCCATTAACAAATGAACTGTTGAGTGATTTCTAAGTCAGAACCAACCCCCTGAGACTTTTTGGCTTACTCTGGGGCACCGAAAGTTGTCAGGAATGATATTTGGATTTAAGGGCATACATTCAACTTTATCCTTTCTATCCTTTACTGATGGAGATTAGGTTTACAGGACAAGCAGAAAGGGGCTAGATTCCTCTGATACAAGTATCAATCAGAAGTTAGTCTTCTGAAATCATGTTTGTGGCATAGTATAGTGGCATAGTAGAGTGGGAAATCATTTCCCAGATCTTCAGCGGTCCAGTGTGGAGTTATAATTAAACCTGAAGTCAGAGTCTGTATATTATGCCCTGAACTATTCACTGCATTCTTTTGAGTGGAATCAGTCTAAAAAAATAAGTTGCATCTTGTAATATCTGCTATTACATGTTTTTCCACCATGGTGTTTAGTACATCTCACCCTATAGGGCAATGGATACGATTTATGTATGGCCACATTACTTACATTTTCAGAAGGTAGGAAACAAACAGTGGGAAAACAAGCAATCAAAACTGGGGATTTTTTGAGCTGTGCAAGTGTTAACCCTTTCCTCCCTCTTGGAGACATTAGCTGTTTTTATGCTGTAAACTTCATCTAAACTGTTTCACAGATATGTGATGCATGAGACAGTTCAAATAATAAAAGAGCTTGGCTATAAACAAAAATCTACTTGTATGGATTGGCTTTCAGCTTGTGTAGTTATTTCTCACTGAACACAAAACAGGGAAAGTAGTCCCATTTCACTACAGTCCCTTACAAAGTATGCTGTTGAAAACAGCTGCTTAACTGTGAGGATTAGCCTTGTGTCTGGGTAGCATCACCCCTAATGAAGAGAATGTCTGAAGGGCTAAAGTGTTTGTCTTCGCTCTATATGGCTATAGTCAAAGGAAATAAAGTGATAGGGACCTGTGATTTAACGGGTGGAGGATCAGAACTATACCCCTGCTGATCCTAGAATTTCAGGTGGCCACAGTATATCAAAGGGTGACAATAATGCAGCCTCTAAAAGATCAGAGTTGAGCGCCATCTCTAGCAGTGGGACCACTTTAAGGCAGAAGTGGAAAGTTTGGCTACTGTGCTCTCTTCTGCCTGCAAAAGCTGGCACAACACTTTCTACACTGTGTAGCTGCCCTCTCTTACCACAGTCTCTGCCTGCGCAATCTTCCAAGCCTTTTTGAGATAAAAGCGTTCTTAGGCATGTTACAGCTGGGGAAGCAAAGGGCTTCTCAGCCACACTGGCTAGGGCAGCCTACAGCTTAGGCGAGAGGGAAGGGGAGTTGTGGGAGCACAGGACTTCCTGGCTTCCCTTCCTGTAACTCAGAAAAGGAGCAGCGCACACTAAAGCAGCAGCTGCCAATGTGAGGCTAAGGTTACTGACCATACCCCAGAGCCAATGAATTATATGTAGAGGCCTACATAACTCATGGTGAAAGAAAGCAATTTTTGCAGTTTGGTCATGGCTGAAAGAGCCAATTTCGCGGCCATTTCACTGTGATCTCATACCTTGGCGCTGATTGGTAGAGAGCTTCCCAGGGGGAGGAGGGATGAGGGGGCAGCTGCCATCTTGACTGCTGGCTGCCCTTAATGTGGCCGTTCTCATCAGCACTGATTGACAGAGAGGCATAAGGTGGCAGCTGACATCTTGGCTGCTGTCCGTGATGCTTCGCCAGCCGACAGCTCCCCCCACCCCTCCCCCAGGCAGGCTGTGAGGCCAGGCTGCAGCAGGAGCGAGGACTGCTGACTCCTGAGCCAGCATTTTATTTTTAGTAAGTTTGGGGGGTTTTGGTTGATTTCCTGAGAAATTGTTGCCAATGCCATTTTTCATAGTGATTATGGAGTTCACCAGTTTTTGTGGTTTCCACAAAAATCGTGAAACCGTGACATAAGTAGGTCGTATACCCTGGGGTCTATAAAGCAGTGGTTGACAACCTTTTTTTTAACTCAAGGCACCTCTTAAGAGACTCAAGTCACACTTAGGAAATTGACAGCTTTTAATTTTCACTCTTTTTTGACTACAGGAAAATAGCAGGCAAATCTTCTCTTTCAAGAACTCAGAAAGCCCACAACAGGTTAGAATGTTTCTAACTCTATGGCTTCCTATTTAAAAATCTCAGAATTAATTCTGTGAATCATGTTTGCACACCTAACAGTGCTGACATTGCATGGCACCTGTAGCAACCTTGAAAGTATCTCAACACACTCCAGGGTCTCATCATACTGATTGAGAATTACTGCTGTAGTGTGTCCCTAGGAGCAATAGTCATGCCCTGTGCCTACCAGCCAGGAGAGAGTTAGGTCTTTCTCCTCACCTGCTTCTGTGAAGATAAAACTGGGACTTGGAAGAAGAGACATTCTGCATATATTGTACTGATAATTACTGTAACTGATCCAACTCCACTGAATTTCACTTGTGGCCACTCAGGGCACTGCAAGGCTCATTGATCAATACTACTCACTGTTCTCATGTGTGTTTCTAGCCTAGCAGTAATACACCCCAGTGCAGATGTTAATATCACCCTTCCAATAAAGCAGTGCCCAATATAGAGGGGCAAAACTTCATAGTTATCCCTCACTACTATGCCGTAGCCCTGAATACCACCTTGTCTTACTCACCAGCACACTCTGTCATACAGGAGGCTTCCTGCTCTAAAGTCTCCTGGGATCCTGAAACAACAAATCAAAAGTAATTGTAGAAGGGCATTCAGAATCCTGTGTGCAGCTCCAGTGACTGATCCTATAGCTGTTCATTTGCAGGAAACCTAAGAGGTATGTGAAAGCAGCAGCACACAAAGTCCTCTAAGAGCAAGGGCTTTACTAGGAGAAATGCTGTGGCGGGAGTACGGATGTGGGAACACACACAGTCATTTTGCTTTGATATTTCACAATCGGCATGCAAACACCATTCTCCCTCCACCACCACACAGGCCCTCTGTAGTTATTCTGGCACACCAGAGAGAACCAAAGTGACTGTCTGAATCTGGCAGCCTCAAGTAAACTTCTGTAATCATTAGCACTGAGTTTGCTGTACTACAATGGGCACTAGTGGCCAGAGCAGGAAAGTGGAGATCCATACAGTGAGTTAAGATGTAAGGTTTAGGGGCTCTTCATACAAGTCAGGTACAAAGCTGTGATGTAGACCTGAATGTCCCTGAAGCTCATTCAGGGAGGACTGCACCAAGGGCTATACTATCAGTCCATCTCTATAGGTATGGAACAGGTATGGTGAGCACCTTTACAAAATGTAAAAGCAGGACACATGAGGCTGGGGGGTGGGGGGGCGGGGAATGCATTCTCTCACCACCCCCCCATGCTGTCAGTGCTGCTGCCAGCCCTAGGGAACGAGTTGCCTGTAGCCCCCACACTACCTTCAAAGCATACACAGAACAATAGGGGCAGGGGGCTGGGCACGGGGGTGGGCAGTGGAAGCCCCCCAACCAGCTCCACAGGGGCAAGTTGTGCCACAGCCCCCACCTCAAGGGCCACCCTCTATGCCCAGCTGGCCCCAGCCCCGGTTACTGCTGCCTCTGAATCCTCCTGGCCACTGCCATTACAAGAGCCAAGCTTAGCGCTCACTCCCTCTGTTGCTATCTTTCCATTGAACTGTGTTGAGACTGGGGAATTCATGACAAATGCTGTTCCAGAGTCATTCAGCTCAGGACTGGGACTTGATATTTACATTTCAGGACTGTTCTGCCCAGTTAGGGATGGGTGCTCACCATAAGAACAGGGGTAGGCACCTCCTGACACAAGCGTCAGAAAGTGGCGTGCAATGGCATTTTGCTTGGCATGCATACCTCTGGATGGACAGTGGGGAAGAGGCTGGGGCTGCACTGCCACAGCAAGAATCGGGCTCCTCACAGCTCCCCCACCATCTATCCCTGGCATGCCAACATCTTACAAGTCAAAGTTATGGGTGTTTTTGGCACTCTGCCCCAAAACGTTGCCAACCCCTGGTATAGCATCTGCCCTTATGTACAAGTGTGCTTTTAGTATCACAGTACTTAGGGTCAGAAGGGACCTAAGCAGATCATCAGTTCTGACCCCCTGCCCTTGGCAGGACCAGGTGCCGGGGTCATATCCCCCCAGCCATATATCTGCCCAGCCTCCTCTTGAAGACCCGCAAGTTAGGAGAGAGCACCACCTCCCTTGGGAGCCCATTCCAGAGCCTGGCAGCCCCTACTGTAAAGTAGTGTTTCCTGATGTCTCACCTGAACCTTCTCTCTAACAATTTGTGGCTGTTATTCCATCCTTTTGTGATTTTCCATCCTTCCTTTTCTATTTTTTTGGAGGAGATACACACTCAATACTGACCAAATACATCAAATGATTAACTTGTTTCCTATACCTCACCCAGAAGACAGAAAGAGTGCCATCTTCCAGGGGAGCAATGAACCTGACTCCCAACCTCTGCTGGCCCATGAGCAAAAACACTGAGCAAGGAATGTGTTTTGGACGACATGAGACTACTCGCCCTGTCAAATCTCAGTTTTTAATTTCCTGGGGCTGCAAGCAATGTTGGAGGGTTTTAGCATTCGCCAGCCCAGCACTTGCAATGCTGGACTTACTAATGCTGGAATGAGACTAATCACTCTGATTAGATGTGTTATGTTGGCTGTAAAAGCTTGGACAATGACTCTTGCACAAAAATACAACAGTGGCTGGGGCAAGCCTGGGTTGTGGCGACAAGACTGCCACAACCCCCCCACCCCGCCCGCCCGCCAAGTCTCTGCAATGGCTGCAACCCATTAAGGCATAGAGATAGTTCTGCTTGAGGCACCCGATACCAGATCCATGCCATAAAATAATAAAAGTGATGGCTCCTCTAAAAGGAAAATTGTTAGTAAAAACCTGACACACTCATCACATGCATCTCCAAGCTAAGAGAGCAAAAGAAAAAGCCAGTGTAACTAGAGAAGGCAAGGAAACTACATATACATTTCAAATGAAGTAGCAACTAAAGAAAATAAAAAACTAAACATACATTTCAAGCAAAACCTGTAAAAGGTGCATTGAATACAGGAAAGATGTCCCATACATGATATCCTTACATTTCTCAGAACAGGCTTCCAATGCCTAAGGTGTTACAAATGTTTCGATCATTCACTTTAGGTCCGGAGTTTTGTAAATAGACCATGACTGGTACAAGCTATTGCAAATTTGCCCCATTGATAAACAAATGCCCAAAGACAGGTCTAGTAACCAATGCCTCTAGGTATCATATTTGACCACTCAAGCCCCATAACATTTAATTGCAAGAAACACAAGTCTTCACACCTGGACAAATCCAAAAACAGGAACCGGGCAATTTAACGATTGTAATAGGACGGTCACTCTTTTCCTCCCTGTTCTGCTAGGACTTAAATCCGCCAGCCATCAAGGAAAAATGCTTTGAAGCTATACAATTAAAACAGTATAAAAAGCAAGACAGAATTGCCAGCAAGGTGTGCAGTCCAGAAAAGATCAAGAAGCCACCCTGTACCCAGCCCACAAGTGAAGGACTTATGCTCTGTAAAGACTCAAACCGGATCACCTTTCTAGCCTGCATTAGTGAGAAAATACTGCTGCAGCTAAATATGTATTAGGACTTTCTGTAATAGC